TTGAAAAATGAAGACTTTATCCTGAAAAACATGATGTTTTTGTCCTTAACCATGGCTCTGATACTCTGCCGTACAAAAACAGATGCAGGGCATTTAAAAAGTCCAGTATTTAATTGTAGACTAGATTTTTACCATTCGATTTGAAGCCTTTAGTCTGCCGTTGTACTTTATCTGTTTATATCCTGCAGTCTTAAGCAAAAGCTCTCAAAAGACTATAAGAAGCATCAGTTATCTATTTCCAGATAAAAGATTTTTAGCTTTCAGGTGAAGAGTTTTAGACCGTGTGAGGAAGAAAATCCTTTGGTCTGAACGTAGAGGAGGAGAAATGTATTTATAATATAAAGAGAAGCTGACGTAAAGGTGTTAAAGTTGTTGTAAACATTGAAAAAGAAATAGCCCCAAAATATTTTTCTCTAATATATTTTAGGTTTTTGTATAAATGTGTTTTCTAAAAGTTTCACTGACTTTCTGTGGAGCTCTCTGCATGTCCCTGAACCAGGTCTGAGTCTGTGAGCCTGCCACTAATCTGTTGATCAAGCGCCTCTGATGGACTGAAGTCCAGGTAAAATCTTTATTTGCTGTTTTCTCACCTTGAATCCTCTCTCACACGTCAGTGTTCACGGAGGGGCCCGAAGGCAGGTTTGAGACTTTTTAAGTGAAACTTCGTCTGCAGTCATTTTCTTTATTCAGAGATTCAGTTTGCTGGTGTGCAAAAACACACGTGGTGTTACTGAGGGACGAGTCGCACAACATAAGCAAAACGCGTATCACTAAGTTTCAAGGGCAAATGGAAGGGAAAAAAAGATTAACATCGGAGTCGTGTCTTACTGTGTGTTCACATAGAACGCAAAGCAACATTTTTGTACCATTAAATACAAAGTGAATGAACAGACAGCGATGCAATAAACACGTACCAGATTCTGCTCTGATCCGGAGCCTTTTACCCAAACTGCTTGAATAAAAGTTAGCGAGGAAGATGAACTACCTGTTAAGTTCAGAAAATATGCGTCTTACTTGATTCCAGCTATCACCGTGCTGAACCTCATTCAGAAAACAGGCATTTTAAAAGTTGTTTGCTTGTCGTCTTGTGGACGTTTTATTTATCGCCATCATGATGTAGCTATTGCAATCAGGTCATTGCAAAATGTTTATTTGGGTTCACACCTCTGTAGTAAACCAGATTAAATGCAAATATTTGCATACTGTGTTTACTCGTAAGGCGAAAATTAACTTTGCGCTGTATGTGAACACAATAAGAGTGAAAGGATGAGATCTCATGAGGCCACAGCTCTGGCTGCAGCGTTCTGCGCTGAGTTTTATACAACAGTCTGATTACTTTCTCAGTACACTGCAGCGTAGATCTGAAGGTAATATTGTAGCTTGATGTTCCCCGAGTCGGCTAAAGCCCTGGATATACTTGCTTTTAACTACACATATGCGTACGCAAGATGGCTGCCACGCGTTCCTTTGGAGCATAGGTTGTACATGTCTCCAGAAATTAACGCTACGTGTCCACAAGACGCAATTCCACACGTGAACGCAATGGGAGTATGTCCATCTGACCGGCAGGTCAGCAGCAATCTACTGTTCCACACTAGCCCAGGTGGTGACCGTCATTAAATTCAAAAGAAGAAGAAGGTCAGCAGCAGACTTTAAAAAAGGAGCTTTATGGCAGGATGTTTACAGTAAAACTTGATTTATACTCCTACATAAGTAAATGTAAATGCTCCGTACTTGTAGTCTTTTCGACTACTCAAAGTGCTTTTACACTACATCTGCATTCACCAGTCACACACTGAGCCTAAGTGCTCAAACAGAAACTAGCATTCACACTCATTCATACACTGGCGGAACAGCCGCCAGGGGCAAATCGGGGTTCAGGATCTTGCCCAAGGACACTTCGACACGCAGCCAGGGATTGAACCGCCGACCTTCCGATTAACGGCCAACCCGCTCTACCTCCTGAGCCACAGCCGCATGTAAGGTGTACATGCGTAGCTAAGCCGTAGGCTACGCAGGTAGCCATGCATTTATACTTGAGCAACGGTGTCTCCGTCAATCTGCAATTACACCCCCAAACAGTAGTCGGCAGTAGCGCTACAGCGTCCACTGTGTTGACTTTTGCCGGCCGAGAAGGCTAACTTCCGGTTTAGTGCTCCGCTAATATGAATGGGGGTAAAATTGTAAAGGTGCGGCTGGTGTAGCCTTTTCAAATGTTACCGACCGAACGGATCACATTCTGACTTGTTGATCCACTGTGTTACAGCCGCCGTTTTGGCCACTAGTAAAAGTTACTTCAAAGCACGGGGCACTTCCTGTCGGCTCGAGGAGGTGCACATCAGGCTAGGTGTCGGCATAGGGTACAGGGCTACACAGAGGCTACGCCGTCGACTCGACGCAGAAGTATAAATCACACTTAAACTCCTGGTGCTAGTCCGCAATTACCAAGGTCGTTATGATGTCTCATTAAAATCACAACCTGCTCGAGTGTCGCTATTGTTTGTTTACGATGTGCAAATTCGGAGGTTGTCAAGGAAGATAATCCGGTGTTGGCGAGGGATGATCCAGTCCTGGTCTGCTCCCTAGTGGATTCAGGTTAATACTTCAGGGACACGCAAAGTACACAGGCAAGTATGTGAACAATGCCGTTTGCGTTGCCGACGTCTGTCTACGCCTAACCACTGTTAAAAAGCAAGTCTATCCAGGGTCTAACGGCGTTAAACACGTTTGTTAGCCAATCTCTGTGTTTCAGTCGGAGCCGCTGTTGATCAGAGATTCAGTCCGGGTGGGTTTACTACACTGTTGATGCTTCGATCCACAGCCTGCTACATCAGCTGTGTGTGTGCGCGTGCGTGTGTGTGTGTGTGAGAGAGAGACATGTAGATCTGGCACAACCTTTAAAGGGGCAGTAAGTAATTGTTGACCTTTATCGACCTACAACCAATCACAGCTTTGAGCTGTGAAACCAGATGCTGAACCTTCAGACTGACTTTTAGTTTGAGTCACTTTGAGAAACAAAAGCTTGATTTATAAGAAGTCAGATCTTTCACTGTGGATGAAGGTCAAGCCTCATCTGATGAGCAGCTGGAGGTGGAGACAGGTTTTTCAATAAACATAATAATTCCCTCTGCAAATCATAATACAATTACAATAGCAGTAAAAATAATCAATGACAATGATTACTAAATAATCAAAAAGCAATTACATGTTTCATTCAAAATCGTTACCTACTAAGAATATATTTCCCCTCCTCCTTCATAATAAAAGTTAGTGTTTGTAGAAAACAGTAAATACAGGAGCAGGTTCTGTAAACACGCAATGATACGCTGCAGGAAAACGCTGTGACCTTCATCAGCAGCCGGATTCCTATTTTTTAATATTGGTATTATTTATACATAATTGGATTTTTAAGTACTTTAGTGTCTCTTTCTGAATGCAGATTAATCTGATTTTACAGTAAAAACAAAGACTTGTTTCTGCCGGTTCACCACGCTCAGCTTGGCAGTATGATGGGAAACCAGCAGGGACGATATGGCCTAGAACTCACACTGTTAGAACAATGCCCACTTTGTTTGCAAAAATAAACATGAAAATGTTCAAGAACAGATGAAACAATAAGTCAATTAATCACGATTTCATGGTTCCAGCTTCTCAAATGTGAAGATTTTCTGCATTATCTTTTCATTATTTTAATTTATTGATAACAAGAGTCTTTTTCACTGCTTTAAAGAATTTGTGAAAGACCTTTTGAATGGCTGAAGAGCACTGAGTCTGTTCTTAAGCACGAGTGATTGGTTTAGGCTTTGTGTACGTACTGCCCCTTTAAAACCCAAATCCTGCCAGGTTTGTGGTCGTGTCCAGCTTCTCCTAACGGCATGATAAAGACCACGCGCGGTGTCGAACACTCTTGAACCAGCTTGCTTGCATGAATGAGGTTTTTTTTTTTTGTGTGTGTGTGTGTGTGTGTGTGTGTGTACATGTGATGCAGCTTGGTATCCAAAGCTTGAGCTACTTAAAGATTCAGCAGTAAAAAGCGAGAAATGCTTCCACTGGATCGATTTGACAGTTGCCAAAACAAACATTTTCTCTCTCGTGATAAAACTATAAGTAAATGATTTATTTAAATGTACTATAGTGTACATTATATAATATTATTATCACTAGTCTTTCCTGTTGTTGAATTAATATTTGAAAAAGCAGTGATTAGTTATGCATTTCTTCATGTACTGTATATTTTACCATAAAACACTCAGCAAACTGTAACACCTTTTCCTCATAACCATTTATATATATTAACAGTATTATTTCTCCTCTTGGCTAAAATCTGTAAAATAGTAGAGCAACAATTGCTTAA